AACCGGAATCTGGCAAGAATTTTGTAGTATACAGTGACGTATCCCATAACGGGTTGGGGTGTGTATTAATGCAAGAAGGGAAGGTGGTAGCGTATGCATCGAGGTAGTTGAAACCACTTGAAAAGAATTACCCCACCCATGATTTAGAAATGGCTGCTGGGTGTTCGCTCTCAAGATTTGGCGTCATTATCTGTATGGAGAAAGGTGTTACTTGTATACAAACCATAAAAGTCTGAAGTACCTGATGACTCAAAAAGAGTTGAATTTGAGGCAACGTAGATGGGTAGAGTTCTTAAAAGATTATGATGTGATAATTGACTATCATCCCGGAAAGGCTAACGTGGTAGCAGATGCTTTGAGTAGAAAGACGTTTGTAGCTTTACGAGCTATGGACGCAAGATTATCTTTAACGGGAGACAGTGGTCTTTGTGCAGAGTTAACACTTAAACTAGCGTGGTTGGAATGAATAGGAGAATTGCAAAGTAAAGATGAAACGTGTTTGAAAAGAATTGAGCAAGTAAAGAGCAAAGAGATTAAAGACTTTGAGGTTAAGTCAGATGGAAATCTATATTGTAAAGAAAGAATTGTAATACCTGACAATGACGACTTGAAGAAAGAAATATTAACAGAGGCTCATTGCAGTCCGTTAACGATGCACCCGGGTGGAACCAAGATGTATATGGATTTGAAGGATCAATTTTGGTGGCCAGGGATGAAACGAAACATCACCGAATTTGTGTCTAAGTATTTGATATGCCAATAAGTCAAAGCTGAGCATCAAGTTCCGTCAGGATTATTGCAACCGCGTGTCATTCCTCAATGGAAATGGGAAAATGTTACGATGGATTTTGTTTTGGGGTTACCCTTGACTCCGAACAAAAGAGAATCAATCTGGGTAATTATTGATCGATTAACTAAGTCAGCGCATTTTCTCCCGGTTAGAACAGATTTCTCTATGGAAAAATATGCAGAACTGTATATTAGAGAAGTTATTAGATTGCATGGAGTGCCTGTTTCCATATTCTCTGATCGAGACCCTCGATTCACTTCTAGATTCTGGAAATCTTTGCATGGAGCGTTGGGGACTCGTTTAAACTTTAGTACGGCTTTTAATCCTCAGAGTGACGGGCAATCAGAGAGAACTATTCAGATATTGGAAGATATGTTGAGAGCATGCGTAATGGAATTCAAAGGATCATGGGAAAAGTATTTGCCGCTGGCAGAGTTCGCTTACAACAATAGTTATCAGTCTAGTATAAAGATGGCCCCATATGAGGCATTATATAGGAGGAAATGTTGTACTCCATTAAATTGGTATGAACTCAAAGATCGAAGTGTTCTTGGTCCGGATTTAATTCAAGATGTAGAACAAAAAGTTTGAGAAATTCAGCATAACCTCAAAGTGGCATCTGATCGGCAAAAGTCCTATTGTGATCTTAAAAGAAAAGAGATTGAATTCGAGGTTGGAGATAAAGTTTTCCTTAAAGTATCTCCTTGGAAGAAAGTATTACGTTTTGGTCAGAAAGGAAAGTTAAGTCCTAGATTCATTGGGCCATATGAAGTTGTTAAGAGAATATGACCCGTGGCATATCAGTTATCCTTGCCACCGGAAATGGAGAAGATCCATAACGTCTTCCATGTGTCCATATTACGAAGATATAGGCCCGATCCCTCTCACATCATTGTACCAGAACAAGTAGAAGTCCAATCGGATCTGACATATGAAGAAGAACCAGTGAGAATATTGGCTTTTGAAGTCAAACAGTTAAGAAGTAAGACAGTTCTGTTGGTCAAGGTTCTTTGGAGAAATCACAAAGTAGAAGAAGCTACGTGGGAACGTGAAGAAAATATGCGACTTCAATATCCCCATCTGTTCGTACAATGAAAATTCGAGGACGATTTTTTTTAAGGCAGAGAGATTTGTAACATCCTCCATACCGGGTTAGTGATCAAATTGTGAAATTATAAAATTCAGTGACCAAAGTAGATAAATTGAATAGTTGAAAGATTTAATGGGAATGTTTTGTGTAGGATCAATTAACAAAGAAGGAGGAACTAAAGGGGTAAATGAGTCTTTTAATAGGGGAAATAATTAAATATTAGATGAGGATATTTAAATCCACGTGGAAGGCAAATGAAGAGAACAAAAGTTTCCAGATTTCTCTTATTCTTCACTTCTTCTTCTCCATCGAGAGACCAAGCTAAAGGTGAGTTTTCTTGTTGATTAAATTCTTGATGAATTTAAGGTTTCTTATTGATCCTTAGTTGATAACTAAGCTTAAGGAAAGCTTAGATTATCTTAAAACCATAAGATGAGGAGAATATGAAGAATCAAAGAAAGGAAGTAGAAAAGTGAAATCTTGGATTAGAGTTCCTAATAAGAATTAGAAGTGGAATTTGACTTGTCATAAAGCTAACTAAAAAATATGAGGTGTTAGAATTCAAATTAGAACATGTTGGAATTTGGGTTAGATTCTTAAATTCTACATGGAGAATTGGATTTTTAAGTTTCAAAAGTATGGAATGGATAATAATTAGTTTAAGTATGAGTATGCAACTTAAGGATTTATAAAAAGGGGAAATATAAAGTGTTAAGTAGACTAAGAAGAGATTTTCGTGCTAAAATGACAATTCTGGGCAATGTGCATCGATGCACATTCATTGTGCACCGATGCATCGATGATAAATCCCATAAATTGTTTAAGGTGAATCGATGCACATGCAGTGCATCGATGCATTAATTTAAAAAAGAAAACATCGAATAGTATTTATGCATCGATGCATAAGGAGTGCATCGGTGCATCCCCATTAAATACAAACATCGAATAGGATTTATGCATCGATGCATGGTGTAGTGCATCGATGCATACCTCCATTAAAAGATGAAAATGGCTTTCTTTTAGCCTAAGACATGATAGTTTAGAATATATTAATTAGTATACTGAAGTATCAATGAATTACTATGTAGATATCGAGCCTAAAAGAGTTCCGGAACCATCAACAAGTAGGATCAATCGAGGGAAAGAAATCTAGGTGAGTGCATATGCATAGCATGAATATGTATTTTATTCAGTTTTAGACTTGTGATAAGTCTAGATTCAATATTTTGATACATGATAGTATTTCATATTATGATATATGACATGAATCCATACCATATGCATTATGGGACATGAATATGCAAGAAAAAGTTATATGAGTTATGTGATAAATGTATGAAATAATATGTCTACGTGACAAATAAGATAAATTGTGAAAGCCCATGTTATGTAAATGAGAACTATAGGTATAGTTGGCATGCCAAGGGTAGAGGGTCTATGTGGTCCTTCAGGACATATATGTATTCTTTGGAACATGTGTGAGGTCTGATGAGACACATACTTGATCCTTGGCATATGTATATGATTCTTAAGGAATGATATGTGGTCCTTCGGGACATATATGTATTCTTTGGAACATGTGTGAGGTCTGGTGAGACACATACTTGATCCTTGGCATATGTATGATCTTAAGGAATATATGTGGTCCTTATGGACATTATTATATGGCACTACGGTGCAATTCTATACGGCACTCTGGTGCAATTCTACGTGGCACTTAGGTGCAATTATATGAGCTGTGGTGACAACATAGTGCACAACCTCATAATACTCACATACCTTAGGTTCTCTGTATGGTACCATGGGCTAATGAACTTACTAAGGCGAACTTATGAATGTGAATTTGATAAGTATATGTGTAAGAAACATGGTTCTGATTATTGCATTGTTTACATACATCTTATCATTGCAACCCATCTTATTTTGGCAATTACTTTATATTTATCGATATTATTATTATATTGCCTCACTAAGTCGATGACTTAGCATGTGAGTGTTTCACACGTAGGATCCGATAAAGTAGACGATCGAGGTTAAGCAGCTGGACACCATTACTCCTGCAACTATCAGATTAGAAGCAACTTAATCAGTAGGTCATTTTGTTATGAAAATGGATGTTGGCATGTAACTAAAGAGTTAAGTTGTGTATGCTCTGAATATTTTGGTAAACTTATATTACCATATGTATATTATTGTATTTTTCGTAATAAAAGTTCAAATATTTTGCTATTATTTGTAATGAGTTGTGTTTTAAAAGTCAATGTAATATCTCTGACTCGTATCCGGGTTGGATACGGGTTGGGGGTGTTACATATCCCGTGTCAAAATAGAATGAAATAATAATAAATCATAATAAATGAATGAGAAGCATATGCAAGAGAGAATGTTTTCCGTTTTGTGAATTATCCGTAATGCATCTTTCATTAAACATTAAAAAAACATATAGATTAACCCTTTACAAAAGATCACCTATTGCCCCAGGGTTTAGACAATAGGGAAAGTTTTTGTGCATTACTCTGAAACAGTTTTGTAAACTATAGGTAATTCTTCTGCAGTCCAATTGTTTAGCACAAAGCCTGGTGGTGCAGGATAGATCCCCCTGACTCTTCCTTCCTCAGTCTCTTCTGTCGATATCATATATATATCCAAATTATTCAAGGTATTTTCAATAATTGGCTCTTTAGATAATTGGGTTCGCTGAAACATATGGCCTCAATATATGAAAGTGTCCCGTAACAATGGGAAAATCATGGGTTCCCACTTAATATCCTATCCAGTTAGCCTGACTTTCCTTTTCTCCTGACTTTTATGAACATTTTTCAACTTTTCTTTTGAGGTTGGGCGATATCCTAGACCAAAACGATATTTTTTGATGCCGGAAAAAACCATATTAACATTTCCCTGTAAGTGGCTCCCCAGTCCTCTTCCCACTTTGGCTCCTCTACCCATAGTCATTTTCAATTCCATTTTGGTACAATTGGATAGTCTAGGCTTTGGAATTTTCTTCCTCTCAGCAAAAAAAGTGGCGTTAACGAATTCCAAAGACCTGAAAGAGCACTGAACTGCTTTTTCATCCACCTCAATGTATGGGGTAGTAGTAGATACGAAAGCAATGATGTCTTATTCAACATTAAAGCATACTAGTCTTCCCTCCATTACAAATTTGATTTTCTGATGTAGAGTGGAGGGTACGACTCCCGCCTGGTGGATCCAAGGCCTTCCTAACAAGTAATTGTAAGTCGGCATTATATCCATGACGAGGAATTCAACCTCGTAAATTGACGGGCCTATGGTAAAAGGGATATCAGTTTTTCCCAGTACTTCCTTCTTCGTTCTGTCGAAAGCTCGCACAATGTTTTGGCAATTCTTCATATGCATACAGTCAATTGTTAGCTTTTTTAGAGTCACTAGTGGCCTAACATTCAAAGCTGAGCCATTATCGATTAATACCCGTGATAACACATGACCTTTGCATCTAACGGTGATGTGTAGAGCTTTAGAGTTACCCATAATCCCAGAGGGGATCTCATCATTAGAGAAAGAAAGGAAATTATCTGCCTGAATATTTGCAACCAGTCGATCTATATTTTCTACTGGTACATCTTTCGGCACAAAAGTCTGATTCAAGACTTTTAACAAGGTACTTCGATGTGCTTCAGAGCTTAGTAACAAAGCCAAGATTGAGATACGAGCTGGCAATTTATGTAATTGCTCGACAATACTGTATTCGATATGTTTTAATAATTTTAAAAACTCTATAGTCTCATTCTCGGTTACATGCTCATTAACTGTCGGCTCATCATCTTTCAGTAATATCTCAACGCTTTTTCCTTTATCAGAGGCCGCTCTTTTCTCGGGTTCACTGGTCTAGTTGAGAGAATAACATCTCCCACTTCTGGTGAAGTGGCCTATCACATGCACCTCTTCCTTAGTAGCCTCTGAATTCTTACCATTCTCTAGATGGCATTCATACTTCCAAGGGACCTGCTTGTTGTCCTTATAAGGAAAGGATGACGGAGGTGTAATCACCACTTTAGGGACTACTTTTTCCATAGTCCGAGCTTTCGGTGTGATGACCAAAGGGCAATTAGCATTGTAAACTCCCTTGGATGTGCCTTCAGAAGCGTAAACTTCTATCTCTCTTTCTTTTGTAGCTTCATGGTAAAATTCCATGTCTTTACTATCCATCAGCCCTTGAACCAAGGCCTTGAACTCATCACAGTCTTGAATGATATGATCCTCGTAACAATGACAGGGGCAAGCGTGCTCATTCTTGTTAACATTAGAGATCAACCAGCCTACTTTGACCATTTGTCCCCATATCCAATCCATGGGTGACTTCACTTCATCGATTTCGGTTATGACTCCATTTACTTTCTCCTCAATAACAACATTAACCCCGGTCCCTGCATAGTTCGGAAGTTTGTTTTGAGCCACATTGGGCTGCTCACTGTCACCGAAGTTGATGACATTTCTCTGTTTTAATCGTTGCACCAACTTCTTAAAGACCAAGTAGTTTTCAATTGTATGCCCCGATATCCCTGCATGATACTCACATTGAGCGTTGACATCATACCATTTTGGGTAAGGAGGCTCGATTGGAGAAGTGTGGTATGGGGACACCACATGTTTGTCATACAAGATCTGGAAAAGTTCTTTATAAGTCATAGGGATGGGGTCAAATTGAACCCTTTCCCTTTCTTGTCTTGGCTCATTCGCCCCTTGTTTAACAGGATTTTGTGTAGACGACCCAGTGGCTTGAGGTTGGGAAACTGTAATATTATTAGAATCATATTTCTTTACATTGCTGATCTCATTATCCTTCATTCTTGCTGGAGGCTTTCGGCTAGATTCTCCCCTGTCTAGTTTCCCACTTATGATTGCCATCTCTATCATTTCTCCTGCTGTAAAAATATCAACAAAATTTTTGGATGAATTCCCAATGAGGTGTCCAAAGAATGGATCCCTCAGAGTATTTACAAAAAGCATATTTGTTTCTTCCTCCTCCAACGGTGGATGAACTTGTACAACTACATCTCTCCACCTTTGGGCGTATTGCTTGAAGATTTCGTTGGATGTTTTTTCCATACTTTGCAACAAGATTCGGTTTGGCCTCACATCTTTTACGTGTTTATATTTCTCTAGAAAATCCTTATCCAAATCCTTTCAGGATTTAATCTGAGCCCAACTTAACTAGTTGTACCAACGGATGGCTGACCCTGCCAGGCTCTTCTGAAAGTAGTGGATTAACAGTTGATCGTCTCTAACATAACCTGTCATTTTTCTACAGAACATTGTAATGTGTGCAGAAGGACAACAAGTACCATCAAATTTTTCAAAATCTGACACTTTAAACTTCGGTGGCAATACTAAATCGGGAACCAGACTGAGCTCTCTGGCGTCAATTCCATACAGGCTAGAATCTTATTTCATAGCCCAGAATTCATGCTTAATTTGTTCCCACTTTTTCTTAATCTCCTTGTTATGTTCTTTTTTGTCATTTTTATCGAGATCAGGGACATCTTCAATCAATTACGGGTTTATAGAAGACATAGATAGGTTCACTTGTACCTTTTCCGGTTGAACAATCTTTGCTTGTTGTTCTCAGACTTGCAGTGGTGTGAAGCCAGGGGGATAGAATGTTTACTCGGAAGTACCAAATAACCGAGGCTTTTCCACCGTTAGCCCCTAATTCAAAACCTAGAGGATACACACATTCCTCGGCAATATGACCGATAACTGGAGTCTCTTCTCGAATTATACTATTGCCTTGCATTAAACTAGCCAGGTTTTTCATCATGTCGTTCTGAGCCTTCGTCATCTGTTCGTGCATATCCTCTTGCGCTTTCTTAAAATTCTCTGGCATTCAGTTTGAACTTTCTCTATTTGGGCAATTCTATCATCTATTGCCTTTTTCCGTGTGTGGTACGGATGCTTGTAATTGTCCAGTATTCTACCACACAATGTTTTTATTATTATTTGTGTTTTATTAATGAGTGTGAAAATATGGTTAAAATGCTATTCGTAAAAATAAATGCAATGTAAATGCGATATGAATGTGATGTGAATGCAATGCAAGGTGTTGATTCTGAAACGATTCCTTAGAACAACTTTTTTTATATAAGAAACGAAGTTCGATTACAAGGATTAAACACATCACAGATACATCTGAGCTATCTCTCCTAAATATTGGATGTGTCCTAATAACTCGAAGATTTTATGGCCTTCTTCAGTCTCTGGCTCCAACCCTTCGATCACATCATGAGCTTCCTGTGATAGGTCAATCAAATACTGAGCCACTCCCTAAGTCTGCTGTAGGTATCTTGTAATAAGATCATCTCTTTGCCTAACTCTCCGCTGAGCTTGCTCCCAATGACAACGCCATTGTATAACTCATTCATAAGAGACTAATTGAAGCTCATTTGCTCTTTCTTTGAAAATCTTGAACTAAAGCCTCTAGTTCATTCACACGCTTCGTCAAATTTTCCACTTTTAGCACGGTTTAAACTACTTTCTCGACTTCTATATCGTCATAACGCAATCTCTAATCTCAAGATTTTACTTTTCAATCTTTTATTATGGGTCTAATTCTCTTGCAGTTGTTTCTCAATGGCATTATTTTCTCTCGAGAGTAGTTTCACCTGATGTCTACTTTACTTGAGTTCTTCACTACTTTCCCCAACTTCTCTTTTTAGCCCAGCCACTTCTTATCTCCATTCCGCAGAAGACTTACTTGAGCTAGCAGCTACCTGATTTTTAACCATTCGCTGGTATGACGACTAAAGAACATTAAAATCCAATCTGAGTTACTTTTCTACGTTTTCGATCCGGTCAGCTCGACTCTTTTTGATGTTGATTTCTACGCTTCTTTGGAATGATTTATCCTCTAACCTCTATAACATCTTTCTCCACCGTTTCCTCTCAGCCTAAAAATCAAGCTTGACTTGTTCTAACGGGGACGGAACCACTATGAGATGTTCTTCCATAGGTTGAGTATTCTCTGGGTTGCTCTTAGGAACATTATCATTGACTTTATTGCTTCTCTATTCCTCGTACCCTCGAGATAGAATTAAGCCAAAAGTAAATAGATTTACCTGATGGGTGCGTCTCCAAGCATCGACGACCCCTTTAACTTTATTCTTGTATTGTTCTCCCCTGAACTCAAACTCATACCTGGATAACTCTCATGTTGCTGGAACAAACTGCCTAGACCCAAACTGTCAGGAAACCAGTAACGGGGCATACCCAACAGATCCCCAAATACCTGGTAATAAAACCCAATCTCTGTCTCCACATCGATACAATATGTCTGATGAGATGTTCCATGAGGCACGCCATAGAATATCACTATCTCGAATTTCTTTAAAGATGACCATCCACTTCTCCTCAGTGAAACCTCCAGGCCACTCCCGAGAAATGAAATCCTTTAACGGTGAAAACCCATCTAAGAAGACCCAACCAGGTGCTCTCTCGATGTGTTTGAAATGACTAAGGATCCAGGTTAGAAACAATGGTGCATAACCTATGAAGCGTCATTCCCCTTCTCGTTGGCAAGAGCTCAGGGAACGGAATGTCTCTGCTAGGATAGCTGGAACAGGATCCACATGTCTATCCAATCTTTCGAATAGGTCAACTACTGAAACATCAACATGCCCGAGAACTCTTGGGAAAATAACCAATCCATAGATACCTAGAGCAAACAAGTTGATCCTCTTTCCTATGTCAGGATGACGATCAATCAGTTCTCTCAGAAGGGTCCAATTGAAGCATTCGCTGTCTCCTTTCTTTTTTATGCTTCTCATAACCCATTTTTCGCTCATACCAGTCATCAGAAGTAGTTTTTTCTTAAAAGAAGGAGTATTCGGTGGCTTGGTGTAACTTTGTCCACCTAGAACCTCGGGCAATGAATCAAGGCATGGTACTCCTCTATAGTAGGTGTCAGGTCTACTCGGCCAAATGTAAAACAGCTATAGGCGGGGTTCCAGAACTGAGCCATAGCTCTGAACAGATTTTGATTAATCGAGATATCAAGGAGATATGACATGTCTCTATAGAGTTGATAGAACAACTGTTTATCATATACTTCCCATCTTCCCTAAATCTCTTTCAGCTCGTTTAGATCATTTTGACGGATATTAATGTGAGTATACCCACTCAGCTCTGACACATACCTCGGTGATAAACTGTCTCCATTTGTCAATTGGGACTGCTCAGACCATCTCAAGACGTCTGCATTGTCCTCTACCTCTTTTTGAATCATCCTGTAATATTCTAAAACAGGGCTAATGACTAAAATATGAATTTTGAAAGTTTTGGGTTTAATTTTGAAATAAGTTAAAAGTTCAGGGACTTTATTTGAAATATTTTGTGATGGATGGTTTAGTTAAGAATGAAAGAAAGAAGGGTAAAATGGTCATTTGACAAGAAAGAGTTTTATCTTTCTTTTTGTAGGCTATATAAACGTGGGAAATGAGGGAAAGTTTCCAGAGAACTCTCCATTCTTCTTTTTTCTCTTCACCGCGAGAGCCAAAGCAAAGGTAAGTTGATTTCATCTTGTTAATTCCTTGAATTTATAGGTTGGGTTGGAATAATTGGGTGTTATATAAGCTTAAAGAAAGCTTATATAAACTTAAAACAATAAGATGAGTGAATTATGATGGGATTTGTAAAATGAGTTTTAAGGATAATTTTGATATGGTTTGGTTTTTAGGGTTTTGATGAGATTTTTGACTTGACATAAGAAGAATTAAGAAGTCTAAAGCATTAGAATTGAATTTGGATCATGTTGATATTTTAGTATGATTTTTAGCTTTAAGAATTTGGATGAAATATGGGAGATTATAAGGTGTTGGAATGCTAGAAATTAGTTAATGGTTATAGATGAGTTTGATAGCATAATAAAGGGTTATATGAAAAATTTGGGTAAAGTATTGAGGAAATTTAGGTAAAAATAGCCTATTCTGGGCAGGCGCATCGGTACACTATGAATATGCACCGATGCACTAAGACCAATTTTGAAGGTGCATTAATACAATAAGGGGTACATCGATGCATGGGTATTTCGAACCTAATTTGTGTACTGATGCATCCATAGTGCATTGGTACACCCTTAAAGGAAAAAAATAAATATTGGTCTATTAAATTCTTTCAAGTTATTAGCATTAAATTACAAGGTATAGATATCTGATAATTACCTTAAAATGTATATTTATGTAGATATCTAGAACGAACAAGTTCCGGAACGATAATCAAGTTAAGATTCGATCGAAAGAAATGAATTATAAAAGTGGATTGGAACTTAGTGAGGCGAAGGTGAGTGTATATTAGATAGCATATGATGTTTAATGGAAATAAGACTTGCGATAAGTCTATTTCCTATAGTGTTATGCATGAATTAATGAACCTGAGCATGTATTTGCTATGAGTGTCTAAGCTATATGTTATTGCCTGTGTGTGACATGATTTGAATGAATGATATGAATATGTGATATACACGTATAAGAGATTAAGTGAATGAACATTGATGATAAACATGATAATATATATGTTTTTGTAATCCATGCAAAGTAATCTGAGCTATGTGATATATGAATATGAAATCATATGAGAAGTGACATGAATTACATGAATAAGAAATTAAGTGTTTACATGTATATGTGATATGTGATTTATATGGAAGTGAACTATGTGATATGAGATATATGAAAGAGAAAATACATATGATAGGTGAATCATATGAAATGTTCTATATGTAAGTGATCAACGTGTATATATGAAATATGTGAAATGATATAAATCATAATACCCATGTTCTATGGAATGAGAGCTAGAGGTATAGTTGGCATGCCAAGAGTCGAGGGATTTTCAGTGGTACTTCGGGATATAGTGGTAATTCGGGACAAATATTCAATGCCCCTAGTGGGAATTATTCTAGCTGTGGTGACAGCATTAGTGCACAACCTCAATAGACTCACATATCTTTAGTTCTCTAAAGTGTACATGGGCCAATAAAGATATAATATAAATAAGAAGTAATATGATTATCATATAATTGTGTAATTGGAAGTGAGTGTATTGGTTGAATGTATTGCATATGTTACATGGTTTAATGCTATAATTTATATTTGTTTGATATGTTGAATTATAAGGAAATAAAATGAGCTTATATGATAAGTTTTGAGTAATTACTTGAGAAATGTTGTGAACTCCATAAGTATAAGTATATGTAATGGGGGAGTGAACTATAGATTATATGAATAGAATAATTAAGATTGTAGTGTGAAATATACTTTGTGAATGAAATAGTATAATGGAAGTTATATTAGAATAGAGACAAAGTAAATAATATATCAAATAGAAAATATATATATAGGAATAAGAATAAGAATATATGAGATAAGTTGTATAGGAAAAGACTATATATTTCAATGAAAATATCATAGGAGTTAATTTATGATAAGTTACTAAAAATATATATGTTTATGTGATAACTTATACGAAAAATGAATTAATAGAATATAAGGAGTTGTTATACAAGAATATGATATAGAACATGTCACCAAAACCTATGGGTATATGATAGATAGAAATTATATGATTAAGAATTATATAGAAGAAAGGATTAAATGATCATAGGAAATGTGATATATAAGCATAGATATATGTATATGTATGTATATATGCGTTATGTGGAAGTGTATATGAGGTTGTTTGATATGATAGTAGAAAACATGCATTCATTGTTAGGAGTCATGGTTACGTTATATATTTTATATACCTCACTAAGTTATCGACTTAGTGTGTGAGTGTTTCACACGTAGG